CTTGGTCTCTTGTGTGTCAAACCCACTCCGACCTGCTGTAAGATTATAACCTCTCGTGTCGTTCCAAAAGTGAGAATTGTAATGGAAAGTTGTCTGAAATTGAAGAGAAAATATTAGCTTTCATGTCGTTGAAATTTTAAAATGCTTATAATGTTCATATAACACATGGCGTGGGGAGAGGTTTGTACCTTATTGCCGTTAATCTTCATGGCTAGTGTCCATCCTCCATCTCCACATCCAAAGTTTTCCATGTGACAATAAACAGGAATCGTCTGCTCACTAAACATCAGTGGATACACTTGACTCTCTCTGGACCTGTTATAGGGGACAAAAAAGAGGATTGTGGAGGATGAGGCTTCTTAATCCTTGTAAAGTCAAAGAACCCAACGCCACTCCTTAAATTATTACTGTACGACCAGGGGATTTTCCCAGTCTAGTGACATATCGAGTTTCCACAGTCATACCGGTTTTGTACCTTGGCCGGTTAGCTTCGTTGGCTGCTGAAACGAAACGTGCAGTTGATGGTTTGCACGAGAAGTACTCCAAACAATTTAAATACCTTGCAATTACTAGTATAGTATCATTGAACAAACAATTAGGGCTAAAAGTGATTAAAATATGAGAGTAATAAGCTGCTGAAACTGAATTCAGTTACGCTGTGGATTGATCCATCGAATCGTTTGCAAAATGGTCTCTCTTTCTAAACAGTGGTGTTTATAAAACGAAAGAAAGATAGGGATTTGACAGCATCTTGAACTGAAGTACTGTAGGAAGGGAATCGAGAGGTGAGCGATTCTGTTTAGTTATCAAAACGGCATTTAGCTGTAAACTTACTTGTGTTTGTCATAGAGTTCCTTACAAGACACGGCAGTCACATTAAGGGCTGTAAAAAAAAAAAATTAAACTTCCGTCAGACATGTAAAGTGTTTTAAAAAGTGCTTGTAGTGGAGATTGCGGGGTGTACGTTTTACTAGGGCGTTAAGGGCTTAAACCTGATAATAGCTTCGTTAACAAGGGAATCCTGAATCCAGTTACAAACCATGATAATGCCGGCGTAAGCGTTTGAGAGTGACAAAGATTTGGTGTCCTTCGCGGATGATATCACAGTCATAAGTATAAGCAGGTTTGCGCTAGAACATGTCGCAAATAACACGTGCATTTGGCGTATTCATGGAAAAACGTTGTTGGTACGACTGAGATCTGTGTGTTAAAACCTCTGATGACTGGGCTACCTTGTCCTCTAGCTGTTATTGGCGGTAAAACAAAGCTGCAAATAACACGCGCGTTTTGCGCATTCGTGGAATACCGTTGTTGGTCCGACTAGCTAACTTTCGCTGAAGAAATCATGGTCAACAGTACGCGAATAATTTCTTGCTTGCAGCTACATCGACCAAGCAAATTAAAGTTTTCCTGGTTTATTTGGGGTGAGAGATTCGTTCATTTCCAACTAGCCTCCTCAGTTGAAGGGATTTGTTTTTCTCTCTCTTTTGCTGGAATAATTAGTTTTTATAAATTAAAAGAGATAAAAAACGTTCTCTGGTAAAATTGTTTAAAGTTGTGAGCTTTCAACAGCCAGTCTGCTGTCTTCGACGGACAAAAATGAAATGATAAAATAGACCTAAAAGTTTTGAATATAACAAGCGAATGGCATATATTAAATAGAATACCTGGGAAAGAATGTGAGAATGCTAAAAGTGTGAAATTAGTGTTTGTTTAAAAGAATGTTATATTGTCCCGGCAGAGGGCACGAATTGTTGTCGTCCTCGGCCGTTTTCGCTGTGTGCCAGGATTCCAGCGTCTTTCTAATGCGGCTGTTGCCTTTGTCAATTATCTCAGCATGGTTAAAGTCGATGGTATGATCAGAGGTCCAAGCATGTTTCGCTACATTGGAGCCTTTAGCACATTGTTTAGTATTTCTGATATGTTCTTTTCGCCTTGTACTAAACAATCTTTTTGTCTCGCCGATGTAACTCCAGGGACAAGACCCACAAGGGATTTTGTAAACAACATTCCACTGGTCGTCGACCCGAGGTCGAAACTTGGGAACAGGGAACTCTTGTTGTAGTGTTTTGCATTCTCACATTCTTTCACACGTATTCTATTTAATGTATATGCCATTCGCTTGTTATATTCAAAACTTTTAGGTCTATTTTATCATTTCATTTTTGTCCATCGAAGGCAGCAGACTGGCTGTTGAAAGCTCACAACTTTAAACAATTTTACCAGAGAACGTTTTTTATCTCTTTTATAATGAATCCTGGTATCCGATCTTCAATATTTTTAATTAGTTTTTAACTGAAAGAATAATGGCCGACCTTCGTACCGAGGTATTCCTGTAGTTGGATAACTTGTCAAACTGGCATTTCTGCACCTGTTATTATACTGATTATCTAAAGGCAAGTACCTAAGACCGGCATGGCGGCAAAGAATTCTTTCATTTCTACGATTGCAGCTTCACATGTCTGATATCTTCATTGCGTGTACATGGTTTAATTTTTAAGGACGGAAATAGTTTATGTTGTCAATATCTCCCCTCACTCGATTTCCAGTGAGACCGATAGACTTTTTAACTTGCCAACCACGAATTGAGTCGACTCGTGCGAACTGTGTCGATCCGTCAACACTTACTACCACGCTTTCACGCTTTAGGAACGAGGAAGGTTCGATCGACTCGATTCGTCGACTATTTTAGACGAATACTACATGCGCTTAGAAGACCCCCTCCCCTCCCCCCGCTTATGCGCCTCCCAGTTATAGACCATCTTCTTGTAAACTAAAAAATACATCCGGTTATATATAACCCCCCCCCCCCCCTCCCACCACGGATATAAGTCCTCCTCCTTTCCTTGTTTTGAAGCTTACTTGAAAACCAGTTTGTGAAAAGCCTATTTCCATCAACACAGCCATAGCTTGTTTCGAAACGGTTTTTCATTCCTGGTGTATAAGCTCCCTCGGTTATATGCCCCCCTCCGTTTATAAGCTCATCTAACAGCCTTTACAAAGTTGTATGAGCCCAGGGCGTATAAGCTGCAGTTTACGGTACATTGGATGCAGTGGGCATGGATGGGGAGAGGTAATTGGCTGCTCGGCTCCACCAGCCCCTATGCATGGTTGTTCCAGGCAGCCGCTGCACCAATCAATTTAAATATTGCCTGTAAATTATGATGTACATTGAACGTATGAGTGAAAATGAGAGGTTTTTGTTGTGTTCTTACGTAATGCTTCTGTTGTAAGAATGTTTTCACAATGTACTCCGGTGTACCCTTCTGTACAGATACATTTGCGGTTTCCGTCACATTGCTCCAAACAAGTGCCGCCATTTTGACATGAACCAACACCGCATGCGAAAGGCTGCTGAGAATGAAGATAGAAAAGAGATTCGGTTACTGGTCGATTGTCTTTGTTTAACACGGCTGGTTTAATACCATTGAAGGCTGAAAGAAACATTTGGGGTCACTCATATCGCGACGTAAGAGAATATAAACTCTTGCTCAACGATATTTTCAGTTTATAAACAAGGAAAATTTTTCAGTTAAAAATGACCAGTCTTAATGAAGGAGTGCAAAGGGTGACTGTAAGTGCAAGCTTGAAGCCTCTACTAGATCCGTCATTTTGTAATTTATCTGGTCAGGGAAATTTTATTTTAATCTGGGAAAAGTCAGGAAATTTTGAAAAGTGATGTCTGTGGCAACCATGTAAGACATGCCACGTAGATCGTACCGGAGGTACGTGGAATGAAGGACTCTCTTAGATAGGCAGCGGTGTTATATTTAAACTAGAGTCTCCCGTTCTGATCGTGGCCGGCTAATGTTATTATAAATGAAAACAGCAAACGTGTTCAAAGTATGTCGTGTACCAAGGAGCGACACAGTGGCGAGAGCTTGCGCCAGCCTCCTACCAGTGTGCTCAGGTCATAATCTGGACCCGGGCGGGGTAATACCCATGTGGTAAAGCAAAGAAAACGGGAGACATCTTCACGTAGGCTGTTTTCGCCTACACTGTAATGTATATTATAGCATCATTGTCCTAGAGTAACGTATCTTAGTGTGCATANTAATTATTATTCCGCGCATTGAAAAAATGAGCACTGCAAGTATATGTCGCGAAAGACAATAGAATTCTGCACGATGTAAGTCCTCCACCTTACCTTGTTTTGAAGCTTAATTGAAAACTAGTTTGTGAAAAACCTATTTCGATCAACACAGCCATAGCTTGTTTCGAAACGGTTTTTTATTCCAGGTATATAAGCTCCCTCGGCTATATGCCCAGGGCGTATAAGCCGCAGTTTACGGTACATTGGACGCATTGGGCATGGATGGGGAGAGGTAATTGGCTGCTCGGCTCCACCAGCCCCCACGCATGGTTGTTCCAGGCAGCCGCTGCACCAATTAATTTAAATATTGCCTGTAAATTATAATGTACATTGAGAGGGTTTTGTTGCGTTTCTTACGTATACGTAATGTTTCTTTTGTAAGACTGTTTTCACAATGTGCTCCGGTGTACCCATCTGTACAGATGCATTTGCGGTTTCCGTCACATTGCTCCAAACAAGTGCCGCCATTTTGACATGAACCAACACCGCATGCGAAAGGCTGCTGAGAATGAAGATAGAAAAGAGATTCAGTTACTGGTCAATTGTCTTTGTTCATCACGGCTGGTTTAATACCATTGAAGTCTGGAAGAAACATTTGGGGTCACTCATATCGCGAAGCAAGAGAATAGAATCTCTTGCTCAACGATATTTTCAATTTATAAAGAAGGAAAATTTTTCAGTAAAAAATGACCAGTCTTAATGAAGGAGTGCAAAGGGCGACTGTAAGTTCAAGCTTGAAGCCTCTACTAGATCCGTCATTTTGTAATTTATTTGGTCAGGGAAATTTTATTTTAATCAGGGAAAAGTCAGGAAATTTTGAAAAGTGAAGTCTGTGGCAACCATGTAAGACATGCCACTTAGATCGTTCCGGAGGTAGGAGGAATGAAGGACTCTCTTAGATAGACCGTTCTGATCATGGCCGACTAATGTTATTATGAATTAAAACAGCAAACTTGTTCAAAGTATGTCGCGTACCAAGGAGCGACACAGTGGCGAGAGCTTGCGCCAGCC